GCGCCCCGCCTGTATGGGCGCCAGAGAGGGATGTCCGATCCACAAATGCGAGTTCGAAGTCGTATGATGCCAGAGTGGTCAAATCGTGCCATAGCCACGCGAAGCCTTTGGAGGATGAGGAAGAGCCCTCTGGTGGTTTTCGGGCAAATATTTCAGAGGAGGTCCAGAGCATCGGTGCGTTGGTGTGATCTATTGAGGCAATGAGGTGAATCTTAGGGTTATGGGCCAATAGTGAAAGGATGGATTTGGCCTTGGAGTTACGCAAAGGAGCAGCATCTACGTTGTGGATGATAATAAAAAGGTGCGCTTTTTGTGTCGATCTTGAAAAGAAGTCGTTGATGCGGCTTGCTTGCTTTTCGACAGTTGTGGATGATAAATCGAGTTTTTGAAGCGCAGGGATGGATTCGATCGAATTGAGGAGATCTTTGAGATGGAAGTCTGGTTGAAAGCCATTACCCACAACGACGTGGCCCCGTTTCGAGCAGAAGTCCCTCGCAAATCGATTTAGTAGCTGGCGCTTTGACCCAAGTCCGTAGCAAAGGATATTGAAGCCTGCTTGAATCTCACATAGCATGCGAGAAAAGACTTGTTTGGAATGTTGCTCGGTTGTAACACTTGCTTTAATAGGCTTTAATCCTTGAGACAATGATTTCATGGCTTCTCCGTATTCCTCTGCACTCAGTGGTAGTACAAGATCTGAGTAGACGTTGGACGAGGTCTGAACGCGTCCTGCCTTGTTCGCCGTGAAGTACGCGTCAAACGCGGTCTGAACAATGATTTTACTCTCCTGGTTGTCAGCTGCCTTCCTCTTCCCCTTCCCTTTTGATTTCAGCGAGGGTAATGCATCGTCTTCGGAGCTGCCAGATGCATCATCCTCGGATACTGCCTCTAGTTCTTCTTCGACCTCATCCTCTTCTTCTTCGTCTTCCTCGTCTGATGCAACGATATCGTGCTGGTGAAAGTGATTTGTAGAGAGATGTGCCATAGTAGAAGAGAGTCAAGACTCGTTCGACTGATAAATCCAAATTGAGATCACTGCAGGTAAGCGCACAAGCGACAACAACGCGTTGATTGTCCTTGTTTGCCAACCCCTTCCGTTCATGATCAAGCTGGGCAAATCCATCAACCGGCTTGACTTTTAACCAACGACCAAGGACATTACAAAGTGTCTTGCCATTGCTATTCAATCTATAACCTGGAGAAACAGGCTGCTTCAGTCTCTTCCAATCGCGGAGAAATTAGTCTTACTGCCATTCGTTGAGTATTTTTCGCGATTCAAATCCCTAGTTTGTCCGGACGGGTTCTGCGAAGTACGACGAAATCTGTGTCTTCATTTGCTGCTCAACATCGGGAATTATATCAAGCAATGCGTCCCTATACTAAGACTCGCGGTAAATTCTCGTCACCCTTGCATCGCACCCCTCAGAGACCATTGGACAGTATCTATTTTTATTTTACTGCATCAATACTGCATTCTATCTGCGCATATAATCCCTCCTCGATACCGATGTTGCGGCGAATAACGACCGCATTAGCTGCTGTCGCACTCTACTTTTCGCTGAACTGAGGGGGTAGGTATGGTGTCTCTCTCTCTACAGCCTGTGTTCGCGCTTTCTTTAGACCAGTACAATACACTTGTGCAACCACGCCCCTTGGATTCAACTCCGGAGAATAAGGGATGAGCACATCTAGAATGCTTAAAAGGCCAGGGTCTGAATTCTGGACTGCATCGAATAATCAGGATGATTTTCTCTCTTGGACTTGTGCTGGCTCTTCCGTCGCTCCTGGCTCTGGCAAAGCCCACACCACCACCACCACCACCACCGAGGACATGCCCCACCGAATTGAAGCCTCCAAGGTCTGCCGGAAAGCTTTCCTACGTCGGCGTCAACATTGCTGGCTTCGACTTTGGATGTGGTATTGATGGTGTAAGTTGTGTTTTAGCATTTTGAGACAAGGTATTTACAGCTTTGTGTTTTAGACGTGCACAGCAGCGGGAGCATGGCCCCCTCTCCTCGACTACTACGGTAAGCGTTGGAATCCTTATCCTTGGTTTGCTTTTAAAAGTTGATTTTTATTCAGGTCACGACGGTGCTGGGCAGATGAAGCACTTCCGCCAGGACGATGGATTCAACACCTTCCGTCTGCCCGTCGGTTGGCAATTCCTCACTGGCGACGTTATGGGTGGAACCTTGAACGCAACCAATTTTGCCAAATATGACACATTAATGAAGGTATGTTGACGACTACAGCCTTGTAATCCTTGACGTATCTTATAAAAAAAAATTCAACTGGGTACAGGAATGCCTAAAGACTGGCGCAACCTGTATTATTGATATTCATAACTATGCACGATACAATGGGCAGGTGGGTTTGACCAATGTCAGAACTAAGAAATCTACTTACTGATGGACTTTGGCAGATTATTGGTCAAGGAGGGCCAGTAGACGAGGACTTTGCCAAGCTTTGGGGCAACATCGCGTCCCACTACAAGCACGAAGAAAAGATCATGTTTGGAATGTCAGTGACTGCTTTTTTTAACCGTCATACATTCCAACTATATTACAGTATGAACGAACCCCATGATGTTCCCGACATCAAAATCTGGGCACACACAGCTCAAAAGGCTGTCACCGCCATTCGCAAGGCTGGGTAAGATATCATCTTAGAAGGCTTTAGAACAATATTCTCATTAATTTTCGCAGTGCCACACGCCAAAAGATTCTTCTTCCAGGTAACGGATGGGCGTCTGCTGGTGAATTCATCTCAAGCGGTTCAGCCGATGCGCTGAGCAAAGTTACAAACCTTGATGGAAGTACCACCAACCTGATCTTTGATGTGCACAAATACCTCGATTTCGACAACTCCGGAACACACGAGTGGGTAGTCTTCTCCGCCATCCGTAGCGTGTTCCTCATGATCATTCTAGCGAGTGTGTCACGAACAACATCGAGACGGCATGGGCTCCTCTTGCACAGTGGCTGCGATGCAACAAGCGCCAGGCTATCAATACCGAGACCGGTGGAGGAAACACTGATTCTTGTGTGAAGTACATGTGTGAACAGATCGCATTCCAAGCTCGTAACTCAGATGGTGGGTTTACTCGTATCACCTGTCCCCAGCTTATTGAGAGATGCTCACAATTGCCCTTCACTTCAGTCTTCCTTGGTTATGTTGGCTGGTCTGCAGGAAACTTCGATACTTGTATGTTTTTGGTTCCTCAAACACTTTTTTCATCTCCCTGACTTCCGCCCGTTTCTTCACAGCCTACATCTTGAGTAAGATTCTTATGATGCTTGTGATATGATATTCGCTAACATCAGTTTCAGGCGAAGTCCCAACTCTCAATGGCACAGTTTGGGTCGACACTCTGCTCACCCAGAAGTGTATGTCGCCGAAGTCAGGATCTCAGAAGGGCCCCGTAGCATAGACGATACAATGTACACAGGTTATACAACTAGAACAAGCACAAATTCTGTTCATCAGGCTTCAGCTGCCCCGCGTCGAGTGAGGTTGAAAGCTTCTTCCTGCGTTCCCTATGTGTTTGTCAGGCTCTGCGACACCTATCTCTCTCTTAAAACCCTTCCTTCTCGTTCGGCATCCCTATTGAGATTGACAATCTCATCCTTTTCTTGATCTCCACTCTCTGGAAGCACTTTTCGGGTTGGTCAGTATAACACGCTCTAGCACGTCAACGCTAATCTTGGTTCTGGCTATCTTATAGCATTCAACCACCTTGCGCAGTACGCTCTTTACAACCATCTCAAACAGCCAACCAAGTCCTCTCAAAGCCATTCCGCACAATGCGTACAGCGCCACGCGTCCCGGCTTTTCATAACTTGGGATATGCTTTACAATGGTCAACTCAGCTTCTGATGTCTCTTCCTGCTGCAATCGTTGCAACCAGATTCAGCCCGGGACATGAATCCACATTCGACGACCTACAAAATAGTGCTGAAGCTAACATCGCACAGGGTCAACGTATTCTTTTTTTTAAAAATAAAATAAAAAACATGTTATTTCTACAGAGTATAACAGATTACATACAACAATGGATAGCAATTACACAGCGTTATAAGAGGAAAGGCCCCCTAACGAGTAATGTAATGACAAAACTTCGACACCGCGTCATGGAATGGGAGATAACTAGATAGTGATGGTCGTGAACAGGACATTTTGATGACTGGGATGACAGAGGTCGTGCTTAGGTGACAGTGTCTTTTGCTTTCTCTTGCTTTCTAACGGGACACCTGCCTAGTGTCGACTTCTGCGGTGGACGATTGGTCTTGAAGCGTTTCTTCTTGCGACACCCGTGTCTCAAGAGCTTTGTTCATTTTGACGACAGCAGCCAACCATTCGTCTTGAGTCCTCGCAACTCTCACTTCTGCCACAGCAGCAGCTTCATCTGGGTTAAGAACGGATTCCAGCTCTGGGTTACTAACGCTAGATATATCTCAGTCAGTTCATTACTAATTCGTGAATAATTAAAAGTAGATTTACGCCATATGATACGCCTTCAACACGTTCTTGGTTTTCTGTGTTGGCTCTTCAAGTTGGACAGGAAGTTCTGAAGACATTTTTTGGTTGTGGTGGCGGGGTGGTGCAGGTTAGAATGGATGAAGATTGATCTAAAGCATTGAGACCCTTTTATGGCTGACTGCTGGGGTTGACCCTGTTTTTCAGTAGGACAATGCGCTTTTCCCGCGAGAAGTTATTCCGCCCCCATTGTTCGAGGGAGCCAAACACTGTTAAGCGAGACAAATCGGGTAACCGGGTTGCTGTTTTCGGCATCAACGTGGGAGAATATAAATTGGTTTCTTGCGTTCGAAATCTTAAAAGGCCTGAAGCTTGAGGTCTGCAAGAGAGAAAGTCGAGATACTTGTGCTATGTTGACTGGAGTAACAAGGAACATCCAGAGCGTCATAATATAGTTGACGATGAGGGGGAAAAGCGACCTTTTGCATCTCGTTCTGAAGCTCAAATGCGTTCTATTTAACATGTCTTTGTTAGTATATCGGTTAGTACACGCGCCTGTCATTAATCAAATGTCCGCGCGAAAGCTGGGTTCGACTCCCAGACAGAGAGATTTTTTTTGTTGATTTTACTGAATGTACTGCACATTTGAAGCCAACATTCAAATTGCACAAATGATATATGCATTGTGTATAGCCTCAGAGTCATATAGAGCTCGTTTTTCGATTTATCTACTACATCAACAAAAAGATGACTTTTGCTTTTTATTGTACAACTCGGCCAAATGAAAAGGTGCATGTATTTTAATTGCGATTTTTTTAAAAAAAATGCCAATGAGAGCAGACCCTGCGACCACCTGGGTTCTTGTGCTCGTTTGCACATGCCTTTCTAGAACGTGATTGTCTCTGATGTATTTCTGAAAATCGTTTCATACGTTTTGTTTAGAAAGCGAAAGCCCTGCGGTGTCCAGATACTCTCTGACAGAAATGGGATACATATGGACCCACAACGTCGTCATCGGTGGAGCACCATGTCAGCTTTGGGAATAGGGTGCCTGTTAGTTATATTTAGGTGACTTTGTCCTTCTCCAAACTTCCCTTATTCCCTTGGAGCTGAAGCCTCGACAGTGACAGTGATGATATGTATTATGGCCTGGTGACGGTTTGGGATCAAGTGCCTCGTGATCAGAAGATTCAGAACCATGACGCCGACAGTGATCGAATTTCAGTTCCTTCACACTCAAGCTTTCTCCTGTTTCCTTCACTACCCATACACCAATGGACTGTCTGTCCTTCTGCTTTGGAAAACACAGGGAGCGCGAAGATCCCGAGCGTGAACCCTTGATACCTAAAAGTCGGCGTCATTACCCGTCTCACGAGACCAATGGCAGTGTCCAAGGGAATGGATCGGCTCCACCGTCATCATCGTCCTCGTTGGACAAAGTCATCAATGTGATTACAGCCATCAAGGCTGGAAAGCTCCCCTCGCAGAGTCAAATTGAGGATGGTTTCAAGGCTTTACTTGCTTCTGAGTTTCTACAGGATGAAGGGGGTCCCACGATGGGAGGCAATGGTCCCTTCAGCAAGCAAGGAAGGAGGGTTTTGGCCGATGTCAGAGAAATGGTGCAAGCGTTGTTGGAATTTGGTCTCGAAAAGAATGGTGTGTAACATGCATGTTTCACTAACGACACATGCTCATAAACGGTAGCCGATGACAAGATACAGGATACCTATTTTCAACTTCTTCACCTGTCCTCAGAACCCCGAAAGGATATAGTTATCGATAACTCCGACTGCAAAGTAGGACTTCAAGAAGACAGTACGCCACACTATTGCATACCTCATTACTCACTATTTATCCGTTATCACAGCTCCACTTGACGAACAAATCGCCTTCGATGCCCAAACGTTTATTTTCGCAGTCAGAACTCTGCTTGGGACGATACTTAGCTCTTCAGCCTTCCGTGTTCTGATGCTGGACTTCCTCGCCATTATCAATGAACTCATGGAAACTGCCGCCAAAGATGTTAAACGCGCCGCAAATCAAGTACAAAAAGTAGCAGAGGATCTGGAGAACAAGGCGAAAAGTGGCCATGACGTCATTGATGATACCCTCTCTAAAGGGGAAACATCCACCAAAGACGTAAAGGAAAAGGGGAAGGCTATTGTCGATACAGCCCAGACGGCCACGAAAGACCTCAAAAACGAGTTAGGAGCACAAGCGCATGATGCTGCTGATGATGCAAAGGAACGACTACTTTCAAGGATCCGACAGGTATGTGGTCAGCTTGGTGGGGCGTCGGACGAAAAAGACATTAACATGCACCTGCAACTTTTCAGCTCCTTTCACGACTTCAGAAGGACCCATCTTCGCGTGCAGCAATGCGATCATTGATAACCCTATTCCAAAAATACTCTGCGACTCTCAGTACATTCGCGGACGAATCCAAGTCTTCAACGAAGGGGATGTCTTCGGAGGTCACCAACACTCTCGAGGATGCAACACAGTCGACATACCCGCCAGACCCATACGGTCAGCGTTCCCGACGAAAAACCCCTGCGTTCACACCATCTGAAACATTGCTTGCAAACCTCAAACAACTCCTGGAGCGTTTGGGAAGGAGGCACTCTCTAGATCCTTTGCTCACGGCTTTGCGACGTGTTCTCGTCGATTTGCACGATGACGTCCCGAAAGCAATAAGGACAGAGTTGAAAGAGGCGATAGAACAACATGTCGAGGAAGCCAACCCGGAAAGGTTTGGAAATACCCCTACTTTAACACCAATCCAAACCCAGCCACCATTCAGTGAACAAGTCAAGGGAAAGGGCAAAAGTAGGAAGGCTGCAAGGAAGGCTAGGAAGAGAAGCCAGAAGCTTGAACGCTCTGAACCAGTGACCCCCATCTCGCCCTCCGATTCGCAAAACGGCGTCACACCAGCCGAGTCTCAAAATTTCTCATCATCCACTGGGGATTCGTCTCGGGAGCCAAATGTCGTTAATCTGTATTTCGTCCGCGTTGGCGAGTATTTCAACAAGGCGTTGGAAGAACCTGATTGGGCGACATCGCGGGAAGGTTCAAGGACGCTCGAAGCCCTATTCGACGATGGGGTATTTCTGATCAACGTCGTTGGAGAATCAATTGTGGATGTTGGGGACAAAGTTGCGACAACTGCACCTTCCAGCGACGACGAACAGAGTCGAGGGACGTCAGAAGCAGACGACGACGACGAGGGACGCCAAACGACAGACAAGGAAAACGACAGAATCCGTCACCAGTTCAAAGCAGATTTGCAAACCCTTGCCCTGGAAGCAGAGGAATTCATATCAGCACTGCAGTCAGACAAGACAACGATGAAGGTCTGGAACGCCTGGCAAACCTTGGGAGAGGATGGTCAGAAACTCGTTGCTGTTGGGGGAAGAAGAGCGTATAGTTATATGCACAGCTTGAGCCCATGGACCGAGTGGGTTGGATGGGCAGTCCCGCGCCTGCTGAAAATGCTCCCGCTCAGCGCCATCCCTATTCCAACTGTGGAGTTCAAGGCCCCTTATCTGGAGGGCGCACTGCATGCGCTCTTCGTCCAAGGGCTGGCTAGAGGCCAGGATAACGTTGCCCAAGGCAGCTTGATCCCAGATGAGGTGATCGTGAAAGAGTTCACGGAATTTAAACTGAACATGGTGGATCGTCCGTTGCATTCCTCAATGCCCATGCTGGAGGTTCCTCCTGGTACTTTGCACAAACCAAACTTGGACGCCACAGCCCGTCTACAACTCCACGCGAATGGCATCAGGGCCAAGATCGAGAGAGTTGGGTATTACTTCAAGTACACCGGCACTCTTTGCGGGTATGAAGACCAGGGTATCTTGACTGCAGACCTCGCCATCGAATCGCCACACGAAGGCTTTGGAATTGACATTGAACTCGAGATGGATGGCTCTAGGATCGTTCAAGCCCCATCATCACCTGTCCCAGAAATCATCGTGGAGGGCGAGTCCAGAGATGGTACAGAACGCAGCACACCTATCGCCCTTGAGGCTGACGCTTTGATGCAAGGCCCTCCAAAGCCTTTATTCAACGTCCTCGATGTTCACGTCATGATGCGGGGTCTCAAGGTTTCAATAGACCAGAGCAAACATTGGATCCTCAACAAGGTCTTCTTCCAACCCGTAGCTGGACCAGCTATTGCTACAGGTCTTCAAGGGGTCTTGGAACAGCAGATCCACGCAAAACTGCAATCTCTGTCGGTTTCCCTGGGCAAAATCGTGCAGGAAGCGTCCAAAAGGAGCGAAATCCGGAGACTAAGGCGTCATGGTCGGGAAAATGAGAGTCAGGATAGCTTTGTAAACGTGCTAGGGGACTTCTGGGGTGCTGTTGTAGAGGTGGGACCACACGCATTCGGGTATGATGACAACCAGAAGGATCAGCAGACTCAGACAGAGTCGACAGTGGATACAACTTCTCGGGGACTTGTGTACACCTCGAAGCAGCTTGTGACAGAACAACCAACAGGGACAACATCAATGACGGCGGGTCCTACTGTGGAGGCCGAAGAAACCGTTGTTGCAGTTGGTTTGGGAGGGCAACTTTTCCCCGATAAAGTGGATGCGACTGCGTCCTACGGAGCGACAGATGACAGTGGTAGGGATCCGCTAGGGAGGAGGATAGATGAAGGCGTGAGCGAAGCACAGAACGCGGTTGGACATGTAGGTGATCAATGGGTGCAGTCGAGCCAGCGCGAAAACGATACGAAGATGAAGACATGGCGTAGCAATGCGTTTGATTTGGACTAATAGCAAGGACTCCTGTAATTTAAAAGTATTCCGTAGCGCATAATCAGTAAAATGTATTAAGCTGATTCTTAACTTATATCGGTGTAGTGTTCAGCTCCAGCGAGAAGTTGACGACGAAAGAGTAAATAAGTGTCATCACATATTGTGGCATGCATGCTATTGATGTCCAGAAGTAATCGCGGTCATACAGTGACAAAAAATCCGACCTTTCTCGCATATGATCGAAAATATCAAGTTAATAAAGCTCCTCGTCCTCTGGCTTCCAATTCTTGGCCACGTCCCAGTAACCTCTCAGCTTCTCTCCCAAAAGGTCCTTCGCATCCCGGTCAGTGGGACAACTCCTGGCTTTGAAGTTGTTGTATTCACGGTCCCGCAGAGCACCTTCCCAGATGAGGAAGCATTTATTATCCTCCAGTGATTGTGAAGCACCCTCTACTTTGTCTTTCTCGTTGTCGACTTTGATAGCTGTGGAGTCTTCGGCATCGGAATCGGGATTTTCGAGTTCGACTTCCTCGCCTCCTCGGGGTCGGGCCGCTTCTGTCCATGCGATACGATTCAGCATCAGTCGTCGGTAGTTCTTCATGAATTTGGCCGCGCCCTCAACGTAGACCAGGTTGAATTGGGGGTTGAAAATGCAAACGCCTGTAAGGCTGAGCTGCTCAGCGTTCTTGCGCACTTTGAACTGGTGTGCGGGATCGCTGAGGTTCAGAACCCTGTAAGGGAAGGAAAAGAAAATTGCCATGTCAGCCGAGTTACGGATATGCAGGAAACAATTAACTAACTTGTACACCGCCCCAAATATACCCTTCTTGTCCTCGTCGTGTTTCTTGTTCTCAATCTTCTCTCTGCGCTGCTCATCCGTAAGTTTGCGCTCCGCGTTCATTTTCTCGTGTGTATGCTTTCTCATCGCAACTTCTCTGCGAACCCTAGCCTCCACTCGCGTGGGGTCCTGGATAGCATCTGAAGTAAGGACCTTCATCAAGTTTGCCAGTCGGACTAGAGAACGAAGAATTTAATCAAGTTATTTTAGGACCGATTTTGACTATACACCAACCTTTCGGTGGATCCGGGGGCAAGAGACCCATTCGAATCCTATCTCGTTTATCTTGCAATTCTTGTTTCCTTCTCAGTTTACGCATCTTCTTTTGCTCCTGTTGGGACATGAGCAGATATCATTTGTGAGCCCGTTAGGGAATTCATACCTTCTTTGTAAGCATGAGGGGTTTGAGTGCAACTTCATTCTTGTCTCCTGGGGCAGGGATAGGGATGGGGTGTTGAATGTACAGCGTGACTGGTGAATCAGGTGTCCTGATTTTCAGGTTTTCTACACCAAGAGTTTGAATGTCGTCGTATTTTTTGTTGGGCAGCAATGCCACATCCCACCATTCTACTTCAGGTGGAGGTACACGCTGGAAAATCAATTCAGTGAGGAAACAGGGCAATATAAATTTGTAATTTACTCACTTTGATGCCTCTTTCAATGCTCAAGTCGCCATCCATCCCTGCTCTCCTCGAGCTCTCCGCAATTCTCTGCTTCAAAGCTTCCAGCTGAGCATCCTTCCGCATTTGGTCAGCTAATGCAACATATTTGCCTTTCGTGTTGAAGTTGAATTTCCGGCCAGATCTCTCCCGAGGGGCTCCTTCAAAGCCTGTAGGTTCTTTAGCAGCGGCGCTATATGGATTCGCCGCAGGGCTGGCCACAGCAACTGGTGTGGGAACAGGACTAGGGGAGGGTTGATTACGAGCGTTCGCTTTGATAGAGGCGAATTTGGGTTGCATAGGTTTGTATCGATCCTTCTTAGATTGATTTAATGTAGGTGTTGTGTCCAGAAGCAGGGGATGTGCGGCCATCTTCAAGCCGGCGCCTTGTTGAGGAGCTTCAACAGGTGTACCTTTTTTCTTGCTGGCTTGTGCAAGAGCCTAGTGAGAGTAAGCGTTAATTAACAAGACTTCAGGAATACGATATGACGCGACGAACCATGTACGGGTTGTCTTTCACAGCAAGTTTGCTTTGAGCATCGGCTACGCGACGCTTGGCCTCTGCTACTCGACGAAGGAGGTCATCTGATAGTGCAGGCGTGCCTCCTCCTGAGGTAGGTACTGAGGGTGTAGGTCCACTGGAGCTTGTTGGTGAAGGTGTGGCTGCGTAGACCACTTTAGAGGGCACAGACGCGGGCACGATTGGAACTTTGGGAACTGGAGCAGCAAGACTGGAGCCGGCACCTAGTTTAGAGGCCCCTGCAAGAGCTGGATTGTTTTTCAGAAATGCTGCATGTTTTGCTGCGATTTCTGCACGCTTCTGTGCAATCAACTCTGCTGCAGATAGCTAGTTCTGTAAATCAGCACGTTTCCTTGGATTATTGTGATTGGATAGACGTACCCCACCAGGTGCTGTTGAATTGCCATTACTTTGATGATTCTGGGTGTGGAGAAAGGGTTGGAGACACAAGTCAGGACTGGTGTAAGTAGAAGGAGATTCACCTTTACAAGGGTGCATGAGCGAAATAATACTCACATCGCTGCAAATGAAAAAATGAAAAAAATCAGATTAATATGAATTGTCTCTCAAGCTATTGATAACTAACCTTTTCAACTTCTTATTACTGCCAATATCGGCGCTTGAACCCTCGAATGTCCTTTTCTTGTCGCTCATTAAATATTAAAGGGAAGGCGTAGTGTAAATAAACTACTTTGTGTCAAGAAATGAGGTACTAAAAGGTAGAAATGTCCGAATTGAGGCTCGTCGTCGTCGGCGGCGTTGATGGACGGGGTGTGAGTCGCACTCAGTGATGCAGAGTCGACGTGACCCACAAGACTGTGACACACTTCAAGCTCCTACCAAATGTTTATGTAAGCACCAATGTTTTCTCTCTCCTCCCTCTGTCGGCGCACTGTGGGCTCAAGTCTCGGAAGAGTCCAGGGGCCCTCTACACAACACAATGTACCAACAGCACTCTCACCACTGAGTTTATTTACTCGTGGTCGTGCTCAACTGGCCCCAAAACAGGTGCAACACATCAAGAGGCATAAGGGTCGCGTTCCGATTCCAGTAGGAGGGTCCATAAAGGGCACAACACTTGCTTATGGCGACTGGGGAATTCGTATCATCGGAAATGGCGCTAGACTAAGCGCAAAACAACTCACAACTGCCCAGGAGGTCATCATGAAGAAGCTAAGGGCTATGAAGGGAAGCAAGTGCTACCTCAGAGTATTCCCGGATATTCCGGTTTGCGTGAAAGTGCGTTGAACCTCCGTTCAGCCTCCGATTTAATGCATGGTGCTCAGGCGAAATATTTTGCAGGGAAACGAAACGCGTATGGGTAAAGGAAAAGGAACTTTCGAGTTCTGGGCAACACGGTGCGTTGAGGTTCAGTTTGTCGGAACCACTACCTGATACGCTCGGACAGGGTGCCTACTGGCAGGGTTATTTTCGAAATTGGAGGTGTACCCATCCGCGAGGAACTGGCGAGAGATAGTATGTTCCATTGTTTTGTCTGTCACAGTGCATACTCTAATTATTCTCGATACCCAACAGTTCTGCGTCGAGCAGCTGATAAACTCCCAACAAAAATGGAGTTCATCAATAAATTAACTCCTCCACGCCTTGGGAACTTAGTTCTGCAGCTACCTAAAGAAAACGTCGTCGATCCCGTCATTACTGTTGCAGAACCTGCGTCAAACGCGTCAACAGCCCAACCTTCGCCTTGACGTAGTCGTTTAGTGTATATTTAGAGCCTAATATTCATCATCCGTTGTTCTGACCGCGTATACCATTGCAACATATTCTCATCGCTATTTTCATGACTTATAAATTACACCTAGTGAATGTTTCGTTGGGGAAATAAAAAATTAATTCTCTCTGTCGGGGAGTCGAACCCCGCTTTCGCGCGGCCATTAGCCACAGAGACTATGACAGGCGCGTGTACTAACCGATATACTAACAGAGACATATTTGTGGATAACCATACCAAAATACAGCCACCTATGTAGACACATCAGAGCTAAATGTAGGTTGTTCAGCTCAAGCCGTGATATTCTACTTTTAAACTTCGAATTCGAAGCCATTTTGCTTATATTTTATACCAAATGCGTATGTCATAACCTCACAAATACCATCATTATCGGATCTTGTTTCACCGTTATCATGCAGGAGTTTGGGCCCAGCCACAGTGACCACCAAAGGGTACCATGGCCCGAGAAATGGCAGTCGGTATGTGCTTGCTCTCCAGTATCGAGTATAGGTGATTCGACTATTGCTGACAGGGCTTCTAACCTGTAGGAGCCTTCCATGCTGTTACCATCCTGGGCCATACGCAGCCTTTCGAATAACCTTCCTCTGTCCTCTGATGACCGTATTCGTGTGGACGAGTTGCGGCAGTTCATTTCCCGACAGATTAAGGAGAAAGAAGCGGCCATAAAGCAATTACACAACGATATCGAGCGCTTGAAAAAAGAGTCTTTTGCCTGCGACGTCATAACGACCCCTTTTCGATCACTTCCTCACGATATTCTCCATCATGTTGCCACTGTATGCCCTCTCATTCACCCAGCGAGTGCTCAATACAGTAGCCCGAAGTCACATATCCCATCTGTTCTGACGCAGGTGTCGAAGTCATGGCGCACATCGGTCGAAGGAAATTGCAGCGCCTGGCAAAACATGCGATTCGATTGCAGGATCTGGAATGGGAAGGCCTTAGATCTGCCTTTAGCACGTATCGAACGGTTCGGTCGCTTATCAGGCACGTTGCCGATCGCGCTTCAGTTAGACGAGAAAGATCCCGACGAAGACGATGACTACCAGGATGGTTTTCCTCGAATCTTGAGATGGGTTCTGTCCCAATGGGATTATCGAAGCCGTTTGAATAACCTGACCATCTTCTCTCCATCACCCTACTTACTCTCCAACAATCTAGATCATCAGACAAACACAACAACCTCCCTCCCTCCCATCGAATCTCTCCGGCTTCTGACCTGGGAGGGCGAATACGAGACAGGATGGCTGTCTGGTGGGAAGGATTTAACACGGTATCTGGAAGCATGGCCCACCTTGCGACGATTGTGGGTCGGTGGTCATTTTGGGGGCAACACTTTCGCTCGCCGAAGCACAGCTCATAACCCTTGGAGACAAGTAAAGGCACTTTATATCAGAGCCGAACTCGAGCGTGACGAGTGGTTGGCATGCTTTCAAAATTGCCCTGAGCTCGAGATCGCGTGGTTACACATAGGCGGTCTCGGTTCGAAGCTATTCCCCTCCAGCACGCCGACTTCCTTACCTTCGAAGACGATCATTCACCAACAACTAACGGAGTTGCATTTTGGCCTATCCGATTACGGTGACCACATTTTAGAGTTCTTCGTTGGCCTACGGTTTCCTGTTCTGGAAAATTTGCACCTTCATTTCTATTTCGCCGATCCATCCACCGGGCCTGGGTATCAAGCCAAGGACTTTGTCGATGTGTTCCCTGCTCTAAAGCATCTCGCTATACACGAAACTGGTACATGTCGACTTTCGGAAACCATTGGGGGCCTGTTCCCATTACTCATGGCGGTTCCTTCGACTACCTCTCTGTGGACATCCATTTCTCACAAACACATCCTTGAGTTTTTGGAGTTTTTCCGGGGCAAACGCTTTCCTCTTCCGAATCTTCAGTCTTACACCCTCCAGTTTGTTGTAGAACAGGACATAGCATGGCTTAGCCCACAACAGGAGCGAAATCTGACTGACGCGTTGATCTTGACACGACAAAAGAGACCCGCAGTCCTTCCATCGTCCAGTTTGGAATCAACGGCTTCAGGCTCCGCTAAAAAGAAGACGATCCACGCCGGTCTTGCAGTTATGAATATCATATTCCTTCAGTTCCACCAAGGAGAGGAGACAGAGGAGGACTTTGGCGCATATATGGTGATGGACGACTACTTCACCAACCTCCAGGAGAAATTCGTCAAGCAAAACATTGACATCAAGGTCGAGTTGGACTGGGTAGACGACTCCGAATCACTGATGTGGCATGAGGATCGAGCAGAGAGGGAGTTTATGAAACGCTTCGGCCTCTAAAAAGCTTGTCTGGGGGATTTTCTAAATATGTTGTATTTTGTAGTTCGGGTTTATAACTGGGTTTTAATTTACCACTGGTTTCAATACCTTTCTCTGAGCCTTGTAGTAGGACTCGCAAGGATACAGAGCTAGATGGAGCTTTGGATTATCGAGCCAGCTTGATGTTTATCCTTCCTATAGCATGACATCTACATCCATGATCTTTTCACGCTCCCGTATGGGTAGGAAGGTTTTGGAGATGTCGTGCGCAATAATTCTGGCCACTTGATGATGATGTGACCTTTCGGTCCCGCGAAGTGTGAAAAGCACCTTCCAACTTCGCTCTCCCACTCGGAGTCAACCTCAAGCTTTCAGCTTGACATTCGCATCCAGACCTCGCCCTTGCTTGCCATTTCAGCGAAACGTAATAACTATCAAGGATCAGGCCATGCGCACTGACCCCCACTTCACGACCCCCATCATCATCTATGCAGATATCATTGAAATAATTATTGGCCTTTTGGCTTCAGAGGCACACCCTTCATGGCGCCCTTATACGGGTACTATGAGATTGTTGCACGACGTCAGTCCCATACCTCACGATGCACCAGATCTTTCCAAAGAAGCCAGATCTGCATTGCTAAAGTGCGCTTTAATATGTCGAGAATGGCTCAGAATTGCACGACACCACACCTTTCGACACTGGACACTCTCAATCCAAACATATACCGGGTTATCCACCATCAAATTTCCCTGTTTATCATGCTGAGACCGAGCACAGCCATAGTTCCGTAGGCAGCCAGCAGGTGCTGAAACACACAACTTTCAGTAGCCACATTCGCCACTTGCTAGTCGAGCTTGATGAACTGCACCTTCGACACGAACCGAATACACATCGTGGACCGAATAAGCGGCATCGACTGACCATATGCCTTCGCAGTGTCCATATCAACGACAAACCTACCGAGTCTCAAAAGGTTGAGGATAGAGGAAAGTGGTTGGTTGGAACGGGAAGACGTGCAGTATGGCTGCGAATCTTGCGAAGAAGTGGAAGAGGAGGAGCTCGACACATTGGCACCACAGGCTAATTCAAGGATTGGCACACAAGAGAAGTTCGCTCTACACCTACACCGCCTCCTCGTCGATGATGGTTTGGGCCTTGCAGATATCGGCTGGTTGTCCCATCCGGACATTTTAGCGGACCTTCATATTAAGCACCTTCAGTTTTATGTTAATGTGGTCCTAACATCACTGTGGACGGGTTTCTTCGACTTAATTGGGCGGATAAGTAGCACTCTGGTAACACTGGAACTCGGCACCGTTCGAATGGATAGTAAGTCAATTCAACGTTTATTTAATTTGTTGGAACATCGTGCTTAGGCTTGCTACAGAGCTAACCAAGCAAATCTCTACGATCGTTCTGCCCAATCTGCAGACTTTTGGAGTCACGATCAGGCGCAAGCGCCAGGGTCTCACTGGAAAAGGTTACACGCTCTATGACGACGAACATGGATTTTCGAAGCTCCTGCTCACCATAAAGGAGTCTTTAGCCATGCCTCGCCTTCACACTATAATATTAAACATTAGCGACGCTCGTAACTGGATTCTCTTTTCTAGCGATCTCGGGCACTCACGTTTTCCTCCCGGTCTTGGGACTCTCCCGTGGCTTTAAGCTTAGGGATCGGGCTCCCATCGATCAGACAAATTCCGATGGGGTAACAAAGGAAGAGTTGAGCGCCAGAATAAACACTGCCTATGATAGATGGACAAGCAAGAATGTTGTCAAATGGGAAATACTAGATGATGCCCTCCAGCAATTGATTTGGACAACCACCCCCCATCAGTCGGCTAATCTGATGCCTGATGGTTTGAAGGGGCTCATCATCCCGATCTGCGCTGGCACATCTTCACTCTCATCTGAGCAAAAACAAGTCATAGACGAGTTTCTGAATCGAAAATTTCCCAAATGCGTTTCGAGAGGCGTTTCCACCGTGTCTCGAGACAGGTCCATTTGAGGATGCATATGGAATACATGGGGGAGCGAGTACTGATGGGTTTCGGTCAAATCAGCACACTCCCGACATCCTAAAGGATATGAAGTAAAAGGGTTATAGTATATGCTATGTGTATATCAACCGATTCGTTTTCACGTTTTTGCCAATGTGAGCTCAAGCCACATGAACGTGTGATTTGTTCACGGATGCAGCCTTGAGTCCCGACTGAAGGATATTTTGGGATGACTCCCACTTGTCTTGACTACCACATTGGCTCTGCGATCTTCGGTCCATAGGACATACATACGAACACACGGTATCAATGGATATGTCGATACGGAGTGATGGGGACCCTGATCGCCAACGATTCGCGCTCGACATTTGGGAAATCATCATCAGCTTCATTCTGGATGAACACCGCACCACTCTTATCAGTCTATCATACGTCTCTCGAGACCTCTGCATTACCCTTCGTCGTCGGTTATTCGCAAAGGTTACATTTTTACTGTCACACAAGCCAAGTCATCCCCCACAATTTCAGTTGGCAGAGCCATTTAGGTCACCCGCTGCGAAGCTGCTTCCCATCCTCAAATCAAATCCCGGTTTATCGGAGTATATACGACATCTTGAAATTCAAACCATTCCCAATCTTTCCGGTGATATACCACATGTCAAAGAAGTCGGATATTATGAGGACTTTTCGCTCCCAAAGCTGGTTCCATATCTCATCAATCTTGATTCCCTCTCTTTTACCACCCAGCCGTCGACCACTACTGTTCGTTGGAGCACGCTCCCGGAGCTGATAAGGGAAACAACCCTCCGATTACTCAGCATTGTATCCAATCTGATGGCACCCGACTTGTATGATTTACCTTCGAGCGCTATATTCGATTCCAGGAGCACAGCACTTCGCACACTC